CTTTACATAGATGCGGAAGAAATAATTGTGTGCATTAAGCAATCAATAAATAATTAGAAGTAAATAATTTTATATGTGTAATATAATATTTTGTATTAACGATGATGTCATTTCCGGCAATGACAGTTAGTTTTTCTTGTGAAGCAATGTTGGAGCGATACAGTTTTTTGACCGTGTAACATTTTCCAGTTAATTTTGTTATTAAACTTGACCGAAAAGAAGTTGCTGGACTATGGTATGTTATTCGAGTTCAAATCACGCTCACCTAAACATGAAGAAGTAACAAAGATGAATATCAAGACGGATTGCTATCACAGATTGGATGACGCGTAATTTTCTTTTATTAAATCCAGACAAGACAGAGGTAATACTTATCGGTTCTAAAAACCGTCCACAAAACCTTTCACAGCACGACTTTAACATATCAGGATGCCCTGTTACTTTATCCGCAACAGTAAAAGACCTGGGTGTTCCATTAGACTGCAACCTGTCTTTTGAAAAGCATATTTCAAAAGACAGGTAAAAAAAATAAAAAAAATAAAAACTGCACTAAAATTAAACTGAGAGGGGTTATAGCACTTACATATTGTTGTCCTACTGTTAGTTTAACTGCTTCTATTGTTCTCATTTGTAAGTCGCTTTGGATAAAAAAGTCTGCTAAATGAATACATGTAAATGTAAATATTTCATATGTTACAAAAACAGCCTTTTTCCACCTTAGAAACATTGCTAAGCTACGTAATATGCTATCAGTCTCTGATGCAGAAAAGTTAGTTCATGCATTCATGACCTCGAGACTAGATTACTGTAATGCTTTATTAGCTGGTTGTCCTGCATCTTCAATAAACAAGCTACAGTTAGTGCAAAATGCAGCCGCTAGAGTTCTTACTAGATCAAGAAAATATAATCATATAACACCGATTCTATCATCACTTCATTGGTTACCTATAAAGTTCCGTATCAATTACAAGGTATTGCTTTTGACTTACAAAGCTCTAAATGGTTTAGCTCCAGTCTATTTAACGGATCTTCTATCGCCCTATAATCCATCGCGCTCTTTAAGATCACTAAATTCGAGGCTTCTGGTCATTCCTAGGATATCCAGATCCACCAAAGGAGGGAGAGCATTTTCACATTTAGCTCCGAAGCTCTGGAATAGCCTTCCTGATATTGTTCGTTGCTCAGACTCGTTCTCCCAGTTTAAAACTAGACTAAAGACGCATCTATTTAGCCAGGCATTCATATAAATTTTATCTTACAGTTACTGTAAATTCGGCCTCTACTTCATAAACGCCAAAGGAGAACTGGCCCCGACTGAGCCTGGGTTCTCCCGTGGGTTTTTTTTCTCCATTGGGTCATCTGATGGAGTTTTAGGACACCATCGGGTCACTTGATGCAGTTTTTCGGTTCCTTGCCTCAGTTGCCTTTGGCTTGCTCAGTTAGGGATATTCAAATTAAATGACCCATCATACCACTGATCAGCTCTACCAAACTTGGATGTCTTTTTCCAGTTATAAACAAACACTGTTAAGTTGTTTTGATTGATACTGTGAAGCAGCTTTGATACAATCTGTATTGTGAAAAGCGCTATATAAATATATTTGACTTGACTTGACTTTAAATATATCAATTTTGCCTTGATGTTTGTATGTTGTTTATAATGAATGCCACTATAGTCTAATTTGTGTTTTATTTTATAATTTATAGCTGCTTGTTTTTCATTCTTGTTCTGAATACCGTTAAATTTAAAGGATTTGTTGTGGAGTGAGGGAAAAATAGCCTAGTTTATAGTGTTTATAATGTTTATAAATGTTCCGTTTTATACTGGTATTTAATATACATAAATTTTATATACATATAAATTAATGTAATTGTTTGCAATTACGAGGTTAACTGGTGTTTTTGGAGTAAGATCAATTTCTCTTTCATGAGATATACTTCCTCTTCTTGGCCGGATTACGTTTCTCCATGTTGTAAACTTTAGGGGTGAGGTTTCATAAGCGTGCATTTTTAGGGGCGTGATATTCAAACGATGATTCTTTTGAGCCGCCACATTTATCAACGTACAATCATTCGTACGATGGGATTGGTAATAAATGAGGCCCAGCATGTTTGTTTTCTCAGTCCCAATGCCTTCTATGTCCCATATGTTTAAATGTAAAAAAACATAAAATACAAAAAAATTCCAAGATAAAAAATCTGATCTATCCTTTTTATATTCATATCTAGTTGGGAGAAATATATATTTTATATTGGTAACAATTCTTAGACATCACTACTTTGGCTCTCGGGCCCAAGATTCTCATCTTTGATGAATATTTTGAGTGTTTAAGTTTTTTTATTTTACAATGTAGGCCTACTACATCTGCCATTATGGAAATATATAACTGTTCCAAAAAATGTATGGTCCGGACCTCTGCTGGGAAGGTAATATAGAGACAGGACCTCTTGGAACTTTAATTGAATACCCCTGCTATCAAGTTTCATTCCACATATTCACACTCTCATTCCATATATTCAAATATCATTCCATATATTCACACTATAATTTCATATATTCAAATATAATTCCATATATTCCGTTTCATGGCATATATCTGGTTCATTCCCACTCTCATTCCATATATTCAAGTATCATTCCATTTATTCAGAGTATTATCCCATTTATTCAGTTTTTCATTACATATGTTTCATTCCATATATTCTCATATATGTTCAAGTTCCATTCCATATTCACACTCTTAATCCATATACTCAAACTTCATATTCTAAATACAATAATTTCCTGAACGGCATGCGATTTTATATATATATATATATATATATATATATATATTATATATATATATATGACACAAACTTATATGTATGTGTATATATATATATATATATATATATATTTATAAATGTATAGTTAAATTATAATTCATAAGATTATTTATATTAAAATGTAATTATATATTACATTTATTAATTTAACTGTATAAATTAAACTGAAAAAAATGTTAAAATTGATAGTCCCATGTCTATCAACGAGCAAAAAATAAAACAATAATTCACCCAGTTTATGAGCAATACCAAATCACAGCCAAATATAAACTGTATGTGTGATAGAGGCACTCTGGATTATGATGACATATGCTGGTTCCAAGAAATCAAATAGATAACAATAATAATAAATCAAAGACAAAACTCAGATTCACTGCCTAACATCACTGGCTGTCATAGTCAAATCCAGCCACACAATAGACAGCCAGCAAAACTTCCCACACAGCTGTCGTGAATTTTTGAAAACAATCTGCAAAGATACATTAGCAACTTGCACACCATTTCGCCCGAAAATTACTCCGTAAAATATGTAGACAACTCAAATGTACATTTATTTTCACAAATACATATACAAGAACAGCTCATTTCAGCAGGACGCTTAATAAAACCAAATTTGGAGAAGCAGTTTTATTGTCAAAGAAATGCTGGTACATGCCAAGCTCTGCGCTCACTGATATATCATTTAGAAGCTAAATGAAAACGCAAAAGCCTTCTAATCACAGCACAGAAATAATAAAAGTCTTATCAGGAGGCATTAATCAGTGCACAAATCATTTACATAATTGTCCATGTCTTCTTCACACACAAAAAACACTGGGAGAGGTTCTGATAGCCTAGAGCATCAGACAGCAGACACAACGTCCACTACTTTCAATCAGTATCCATCAAATTAAGCAATGATAGAGACCAAGAGGACTTTTATCCAGGAAATCCAAAAACATCATACAAGTCAAGACCATGCTTTTAATGAAAACAGCGGATGTTCAGATTGTTAGATGTTAAAGCTAGATAAAGCCATACATCTTGCTCTGCATTTGCTTTATTTTCCTCTCACCACAGAGAATGAAGCCTCTCTTGGGTTTTAAGAGCTTTTTTTTTCACCCCAGAGAGGTGAAGCTCTCTGAAATGCAGCGGAGCCAGAGGTGTCTCCAAGAAAGAGCCACATTGTCTTTGAACGTACACTGGAAAGGTCACAACCAACAGCCTGAAGGCCAGTGAGTTTCCTGACAGAGACACCGTCACAATCGCGTGAGTTCCTCATGTTTGATGTGGCACCTCAGCTGATCAAATGCAAAAACGAATGGAATGCGTGCTGATGCGGATATACAAGTCATATTTCACCCCAAAATCAAGAGAAACAAAGAGTTCTAGTTTTCTTAAATACCAAATAATTCTTGATAGTCCTGCATTTTTGCTTTATGACATTGACAACTAAAATGACATAATTAACATTCCATATGCTCACTTTCCAAAGACATTTATAAAGACTCAAGGTAATCATGAACATGCAAATTGATTTACACAAAAAAAGGATTTCTGATTGGCTCATTAAAAATTTGTCAAATTATCTTTGCAGAAACTAGATCTGTGGTAATTCTATGACATGTCAGTAGGCACAATTTCATTCGTACAGCTTCTTATTTAAATAGAAAAATACAAACTTTAGTATAATAAAAAAAGAATCACACAAGAAATAAAAAAACTTAATTGTTAAAAGGATACTCCGCCCAAAAATGACAATTCTGTCATAATTTACTCACCCTCAAGTTGTAGCAAATCTGTATGAGTTTCTTTCTTCTGCTGAACACAAAGGAAGATATTTTGAAGAACGATTGGAACTTTGGCACCATTGACTTCCATAGTATTTTTTTTTCTACTATGGAAGTCAATGGTGCCAAACAACTGTTAGGTTCCAATCGTTCTTCAAAATATCTTTGTGTTCAGCAGAAGAAAGAAACTCGTACAGATTTGCAACAACTTGAGGGTGAGTAAATGACAGAATTGTCATTTTTGGGAGGAGTATCCCTTTAAAATAGACAGCAAGTTTATTTGTTGAAAGAAATTTTTATAATATTTTAAATAAATTTAATTACTAATAACTCAAAAGGAAAACTTTCAGAAAACAGAATTAGGCCGGAAACACCTTTAAATTTCCATTATTTGTGTCACATTGCTAGAAACAGTTGGGGTGAAATATGACCCGAACAGTTTGTCTTTTCACCACTTTACTGTATAAAACTGTCTATCAGAGGTGTTCGCTTTCAGAAACAACAGCCCTTACACTTTTTAAACAGAATCTTTTTGAAGGCTTTACGGAAGTCCCTGTTAAAGATGGTGTAGATGAGCGGGTTCAGGGCGCTGTTGCAATAGCCCATCCAGAAAAAGAACTTAAAAAGTGCCTCCGGCAGTTTACAAGCCGGACAAATGGCCTGCAAGATGTAGGTGAAGAAGAAGGGGAACCAGCAGACGACAAAAACCCCAATGACGACCGCAAGGACGAAGGTGAAACGCTTCTCGCGGACGATCATGGCTTTCCTCTTGGTGTTCGGAGTTCCCGCTGGCTTCACGTTGGAAGAGGCCAGCTGGCTGCCCTTAGACGTAGCGATGACGTTCTGGTAAGTTTGGGTTGGTGAGGTAGTCTGGTGGCCGGGCTCCAGTGCCCCCACATTGGAGGTCGTCCCGTTGGCATTATGTCCCCTCACTACCTCAACGTCCGAGCCAGAGGTTGAGCTGTCCTCGTTGTCCTTGCACCTCTTTGAGCGTTTCATCTGCTTTCGAATTTCTACTGGAGGCTGAGGTTGGTTTACAGCTTCAGATCTGGAAGCAGCCAGATTGGGAACATTCGCAGGGTCAACACCTCCCTGGTCTTTGCCGCTCTGCACCGCCACTCCCGGCGGGACGTCTTTTCTTGGCTCTCCTGGAGGACATCGAGTGTGCTTCTTGGCAATCTGATAGATACGAATGTACACCAAGATCATAATGAGGCATGGGGCAAAGAATGACCCGATGGAGGAGTACAGGATGTACCATAAATCATCGTTGAGTTTGCACTGTGGGCCGCCCCCATCCTTCTGCTCCGGGGTCTTATTCATGGAGACCAGTGGGGGGAAAGAGATGACGGCTGAGTTGAGCCACACCACCACGATGGCGCCCTTGATCTTGCGAGGGGTGCGCTGGGTGGCGTACTGCACCGGCCGGGAGATGGACAGGTAGCGGTCCAGGCTGATGGCGCACAGGTGCATGATGGAAGACGTGCAGAAGAGCACATCCAGCGCCAAGATGATCTCGCACCAAAACGATTCAAAGTACCAGAAGCCCATTAGCTCATTGGCCAGGGAGAACGGGATGATCAAGGTGGCCACCAGGATGTCTGCCGCGGCCAGGGACACCAGGAAAAGGTTCTGAGGTCCTCGCAAAGAGCGGCACGTCAGGACAGCGATGATCACTAGGATGTTCCCAAAGATGGTGAAGAGCATGATGAGCGTCATTGCGGTGGCAAATGCGGCTGTGGCTTCAGGGGAATAACAAGAATTGGGATTGCATGAACTGCTATTCTCCCCTACTCCCAAAGTAGTTGATGAGCTACTGGTCCTTTGAACTACGACATTCGGAGATGTCATATTTAAGTTCCAGGCTAGACAGAGAAGTAAAAAGTAGTCTTTGACGCAGACTTGTATCCTAGCGTAACCCTTCCAAGAACTAACTTTCTTTTAGAAAACGTTTGAAAGTGAAATGTGTCTTTATAGCAGAGTATGGCATCCTCCAGTTACTTCCTTTGGCAGATCTCAAGAGAAAAGAAAAACTTTAATAAACTGCATTTACACTAAAAGGGGGTCGTGCAGTCAAAAATCTGCAAAATTACTCTTTTCACAAAATTATTAAAGTACAGCAAAACTACAAAAACCTGTCATTAATAATAAATAAAAAAACACGGCATGAACTTACCACAGCATAAGCCAAACAGCTTTTAGACACGGCAAGTCACCCAAACTACACTAAAGTCTCGTGTGGCGATCTCATTCCCGTCCAAAATTGAGGCGCTTGGAGATGCGCGCGGACACTAGCGCGTCAACACAACACACATTTTTCAGGCAGTAAAAGCTAAGGAAATGAATTTGCAAAATATAGAAATGTAAAACGGATTCAAACATGGTAGTTCCGTGGGGTTATGTTTGGTCGAAAAGCTCTGAAAGACTCGCGATGCATGAAAAGGCTCACCATCTCCAAACACGCGCACCAGCCAAGCCAAAACTAGTTCTTCAATTACCAAACATTAAGACGATGTAAGCATAAACATTTCCATGTCAGAGGGGGGAAAAAATCCACGAAGGAAAGCTCCTGTTTTTAAGACTTTAAATAGTTGTTTAATATTTTAAAATAGACTCATTGTCAACGAAATAAAAAAGAAAGCCATTCCATTCATTTATCAATGTGGTTTCCTTGAGGGTTCATAGAACTTTGCGCATCGGTCACTGGAATGAACTGACTTCTAACTGAGCGCGCGCCTCTCTGTGTCCCCCGCCATGACGTCAGGAAGATAACCTCGTCGTGACGTCACGTCAGAAAATTACTCCTCCTTCGAACTAAGCCAAGGTACAGCTTTACACTATCCTAATATGATACTTCTATCATTTTTCACATTGATACGCAAGTCTCAAAGGGAAAGAAAAAAATTAAAACGCGAGGCAGGGTTTAGACACGTAGATGCGCTCTGTGTGAACTAAAGAGTAATTTGTGGATTGTGCCAGGCATTTCTACAACTTTATTCCCCCTGCTCTTGCTTAGTTTACTTTAAATACTCAAAATCTTGTTGATTTAATTTGCATAAATATGTCACCATAATGGAGTATCAATTCACTCTGGAACATGAATGAAAACTTGCAACCTTTCAGGTATTTGCAAGGCCTAAATTAAAGGTAGAAAGAATACAATTTACTAGAACAAATACAGGTGATTGTAAAAAACAAAACAAAAAAAAAAACAAAAACAAGACGACATTATCAGACTGCAACATTCATCTCTCCAGTAATGAAATGGGATTGTGATTAATATACTGGTGAACGTAACTAATTTTATGTGTAATGTTTGTGTTGTGTGACGTGAATTTGAGTTAATGACACGGCCTGTAATGTTGCCAAAAAGTAGGAGTATACTTTGTAACATTCACAATTCTCCTACTAAAAAAAGGCACACAAAAAAGGTGAACAGTGACTGCCACCTACTGGACAAAACTTAGAAATGTTAGTTCACCCAAAAAAATAAAAATAATAATAATTATGTCATTAACTCACCCTCAAGTGGTTTCAAACCTGTATGAGTTTCTTTCTTTTGTTGAACACAAAAGATGATATTTAAAAAAAATGTTGGTAACCAAATAGTTGAGGATAGCCATTGACTTCCAATGTATTTTTTTCTTGGAAGTCATGGCTACCGTCAACAATTTAATTACCAACATTCTTGAAAATATCTTCTTTTGTGTTCAACAGAAGAAACAAACACTTGGAACAACTTGAATGATGACAATTTTCATTTTGGGGTGAACTATCACTTTAAGATTAAGAATTGTGAACTGGAGGACTGGTCAATTAATTTTAAAACAGATGGCAATAAAATTGACAAATTCACAATAAGCCATATTTTGATTTTCAAACCTTTATTTGTCTTCTTAGATTCAGAATTCCTCTGATCAACAAATGACCATTCAACAGTCAAACAGAGCAGTTGGATGCATCATGGTGTCGCTTGGTACTTTTGTCTCTTGCCTGAAATGGAGAAAGACAATTAATTCAAGAAGAGCAGCTCCAACTCTCAAAGTCAAAACCCCAGTACAATGGCAAGAACAAAATAACCTCATCACGCTTTTAGAGCTACTGCCATCAATCCAGTTCACTTCCTCTACTCACCAGGTCAGTGACACAAGTCAATAACATCACATCATTTTTAGGTCTGCATGCGTGTTTCTTCATCCATTATGCATATCCTGCATTATTATCCATACTGTACATTTCTCAGCATATGGTAAAAGCACATACTAAGACGTACCACATTGGTACAGCTTCCGGAGCCTTTGCACATCCAGATAACTCAAGTGAGTCCTCTGGCCGATCTTTACCCCACTCTCTTTGGGCAGAATCGTAGGTTTTCCATTGCGAGAGAAATATTTCCTGAAAAACAGAATACTAATGAAATGTTTGGCCAGCCAAACACACACATGACGTTACGCACCCAAATATCCATTCAAACTATTTCAGGGTTACGTTATGACGAACACCTACTCTCCATAATGCAAAATTGATTCCAGGTCATAGTCCAGACCGAGGGTGTTCCCTGCCTTCTCCATAAAATTGTCCTCTTTCCCTGTAAAATACAAAGCATTGAGTACAACCAATAACTGATGCATTAATTACTCTACCACCTTTACTGTGTGCTCACATATTATATATACACACATTTGTTTTAGTATAAATAAATATTTATGACTACTAAGTGATGTAAACCTAAATATTACATAACTATAAAATATAAATATTCATGAATACAAACTAAAATCAGTTATTAAATGATTTTATAATAAATAAAATAGGGTAGAGACTAAAATTATTGCTAATGGAATTACAGTCTAATTTAGAACCAATCCAAATGGGATGAAAAAGAAATAATCATAAAGTCAAATGAAAGGCTACTGGTAACCTGGAATTCCCTGTTTGAATTTCAGTTTATTTAGTAGAATATTATTTTAGAGGATTCTACTTGGTACTATGAGCCCTTTAGGATTCCAATCCTTCAGGATTACTTAGAAAGCTGAATGAATGTAATAGCATGCATACCAGAGGCAATGTTCTGATAAACTATAGTGATATAATCATCACGGTCTCGGCGGGAATGCTCGTGGTGTAAGCCGAGTGAATGAAGGATCTCGTGGCAGATGTTCCCAACCGTACAGAGCGGGCCAACCAGGATAGGCTGCTCACCCCCCACACAGCCGACGTAAGATGCACACCTTCAGGAAACGGCAAATAACGCTTTATTTGCACAAGATTAAATGTACAGTGTCGGCACTAGATAAAAAAAAAAAAAAATTATACCAGAATGGAATGAAATATACAGGAAAGTGTCCTGGTAAATGAGTAAAAGATCGTTTTACAATGAGTAAAAAGTCCATATATATAAAAAAAAGAATTTAAAACTACAATCTGGGCTCACCCATTGCTGTACTCAAAGTGCAAGTAGTCGGTTTCATTAGTATGTGGATGGAACCCGATGCAGGTCTTCTCAGAGATCATATTTAAGGCTTTAAGAATATTTTCAGTCCTGTGCTCTGAAGACCACAAACATGTACAGAAAATAAACATTCCTCTGAATATTTCTACAGCATCTGATATTACCAAACATAAGCTCAGCAAAAAAGCTTTTTTTTTCCTAGCAAATTTCCTAACATGTACATTTTTATAATAACATTAAAAGATTCAACAGACAGGTTTAACCCACGATATAAAATTAGGGCCAAATCCAAATCTTCCTAGAGTGCAGAAGATGTACAGTAGTCCCACTCCACCCAGTCAAAGGCTTTTACAGCATCAAGCAATATCACAATCTCAGGTCAAGAAAACTCACCAAGAACTAAATCTATTTCATAAGGCACTGACATATATCCATCCACCTCCTCCCACAGTTGCTTCACTGCGTTCCTGTCACTCTAAAGAAAAGAGAGTCTGAACGGTGTTCTCAGGACAGGGCTGTTTTACATAACATCAGGTCAGGGCAGGTTGTCACACGTTTAAGTCAAGACACAACAGATGACTTATAGATAGCACCAAACTTCCCCTGTTGATTAATCACAGTACATTAAGACAATTGTTTTTGCATGCAACAACAAAAAAACAAGTTTAACTTGTAGTGTCTTGACTCAATTGACTACTAGTCCTACTACTCTCCTGGAGGCTATATAGAGAACAACATTATGAATATAAGAGTATAGTTTGGGCTTACAGGTAGTATGACATCCCCCTCCTGTACAGCATAGTCTCCCTCAAAATCTGTTAAAGACATTGACAGGTCATGTCAGGACTAAAGCTTCTTATGGGTCATGCTGTTGTCTTACCCAGCACTGTTTCACTTGGTCTTTTCAGAGGAGGCGGTCCACTCTTCGATGAGTTAATATTACCTGTAGATAAAATATATTATGTCATATAAATAGTTACATTTTTTAAATGTATTTATTTATTTAAAAAAAAAAAAAACATATATAGTTTTACCATCATCAAACTGCAAATCAGTGTGACCCTTCGGTGTATTCACAGGAAATCCATGCACTTATAAACACAAAAAGAGCTTTATATCAACCTACATGCTATAACCATGAAACTAGATATATAATGAATTATTTAAGAACTCGTGAAAGATTTGTGGGATTAATGGAAAAATAACGTACCTTCACAAAACCATGCCACCAGTAAAAGGGACCACAGCATTTCTAACAGCTACTACCTTATGGATAGGGGGAAATGTCGTATGAAACGATTAGACAAACGTGTCCTTTCAAACACGTGCAGGGTTTGCAAAGTATTCAGCCACCTGAGGCTCATGACTGACAATTAATTCAATGAACTTCACTGGCGCCGTTCACAATGACTGTCTGGTGGAACCAATAACGCTCGAGTTGTAGTTTCAATCCGGATACTTTTATTGGTGGGACGCAGTAATGATAAACACGTGAGGGGTGTTTTGTAGCTGACAGCTGATATCTGGAAATCTTTTTGTGCGGTGAGCGTGTATAATTAAGTTATTAATTTGATTTTATTTGTTACAAGAGATATATTTAGGCCAAGCATGGATGTTTTATAATGCGTTAGCTGCCGGAATATGTACTACTATTGTGAAACAACAGGGTTATTTAAGTTCCTTGCTTGTAATTATTCATGATATTCACTCTACTATGTATGTAGGGCATCTGAAACATCCCTTATAATTCGACATGTAAAATGTTACCATGGTGACAATAGTTTCTGACAAAGTACCATTTTAATTGTCGTTATTGTTAACGTTACTCTAATCATAATAGATTCGTTTCTGTTTTAAGATGTAGCCTAACTATCGTTGTGATATAATTTTGTTATGACTGGGACTTTGTTGTATACCATCGTACTGAATATTTACATTTTCCACAATGAAATTTCAAGGCACTTTTTAATGGTAAACAAAAGGATATTGCCATGACATTTCTATAGTCGCCAGGGTGCATTTTGAAATTTTTTGTTAGTGAAGTGACTGTGGTACTTTGGCAGAAACTATGGTTATATTAATTTATACTAATTTACGATATATTATATGATATCCTGTCTGGTTTTGCCAACTTGTTTTCTTTTCATTAGCACAGGTTTTGTATTTCTTTTTGGAATTGATTGACATAGGCCTCATTGGTCTGAGCTTATGCAACTCAGTTTTTGAGTGAAAAAGTTAATTCAAGTTTATTAAGGGATAGTTCACCTAAAAAATGACTCACCCTTAAGTTGTTCCAAACCTGTATGAATTTCTTTCTTTTGCTAAACACAAAAGAAGATAGTTTGAAGAATGTTGGTAACCAGACAGTTGACGGCACCCATTGACTTCCATAGTATTTTTTTTTCCTACTATGGAAGTCAATGCAGGTTTGGAACAACTTGAGGGTGAGTAAATGATGACACAATTTTCACTTTTGGGTGAACTCTGTTTAATTTGGCGATAACATGGCATAACAAGAGAATGAATACCTGTCAAATTCTTCGGGAAGTTGTTGTACCCTGTGTGAGCAAAATCTGTACGTTTTATTCCAATTCAATAACATTAACTAGCATTTTTGGGAAAAAGAAAATATCAGGGTCAAAATGTCCAGAACACAACATGAGGGATTTAGTGTCTGATAATGAACATATTCTCTCATTCTAACAGAACTCAAAATGACGAGGTGGGCCAGAGCAAACAACGTCCATAAAAACAAAGCAGCCGATGCCACACCATGGAAGCAGCTGAAAGCGAATAGGAATGCTGGAGAATCAGGAACTAGCGGCGGTGGTCGACACATCCAGCGAGGAGCAGGCGGAACGAAATCCAACCCGAAAAGGAAGAACGTAGAGCATGACATTGATGACGTGAATGGGTTTATGGAGTATTTAAAGCAGACCGGTCAGGAGCTGCAGAAAAAGACTCCGGCAGACCGGGACCTGAGAGAAGACGTGGCAACTGCGCTGAAGAAAGACGGACGACGAGAGCACAGACGGATAAAGAGGCAAAACGTTAAAAAGAATAATATGGTGAGGATTTAAATGCATGTAACATGACTGTAGATATGTGATTATTTCATATAAAGACTCATGTATGGAAGCTTCGGACATGAAGCCCTGCACATGACTAAGGCTATATATATATATATATATATAATCTCATGGCCACGAATTAAGAATTTGCTTTGTTTTAGTAAATTGTGGCCACGTTTTATGAATTCATTCCCACTTTTTGATTTAACCCTTAATTCACTTTGAAATACATTTTTGGTATGTTTTAGCTTACCTCAAGGGCATCCAAGATGTAGGTGTCTTTGTTTCCGCAGTAGTTTCAATTTTGATATTTTTAGGTCAAACCGTTCTTGTCTGTCAGTCATATAATGCAGGTCTATGGTCACCACCTCAAAGAGCATGCACAGAGAAGTCCAAATTAAACATGATTTAATGACTCGTACATGTAAGTACACATTGACACGAAACGAGCAGTTTGTGTGAGAATACGAACAGTATTTATATCGTTTTTACCTCTTGTAACCACAGCCACGTCCAAGTGATCTGAGGGCGCGGGCGCTTTGGTCTGCGCAAGCACCGGAAGTGATCTCTCGCGCGTGTACGTCACTCATTGTTTACACAGAGATTCGTCTTCGTAAAATCGTCTTCCATTGCGATTTCCTGTATATCTAAATATGTTTAGATCTTCACAGTGAAAGGTAACACTTCCGAAATCTGTGTAAACAATGAGTGACGTACATGCGCGAGAGATCACTTTCGGCGCTTGCGCAGACCGAAGCGCTTGCGCAGACCGAAGCGCCCGCGCCCTCAGATCACTTGAACGGTGGTGGTGGGTGCCATATTTTTAGACCTGAAAAGAGCTTTCGATACGGTAAACCATGACATCCTGTTATCCAAATTGTCTGCTCACAATACTTCTGACGAGACATTACGATGGTTTAAATCATATTTAGAGAATAGGAAGCACTGCACAAGAATTAAGAGCACTATGTCTTCCTTTTTGGACTGTTCAGTTGGGGTGCCACAAGGCTCCGTCTTGGGCCCTCTCTTGTTCAGTGTAGTTATAAATGATCTTCCAGATATTTGTCCTGAAGTTCAAGTACAAATGTACGCCGATGACGCTGTGATATATGTCCATGCGAAATCAAGTCAGAAAGCAGCAGCTGTGCTCCAGGGAGCGATGGAAAAAATCTCAGATTGGATGGTACAATCGCGATTGACATTAAATTTGAGCAAAACTGTCAGCATGTTTTTTACAATAAGGAATACTTCTCACACTGTGCCGGAAATTAGTGTAAAAGGAACAATGATTCAAGAAGCAGAGTCTGTCAAGTATTTAGGCGTTGTGTTGGATAGGACACTGTCGTTTAAAAAGCATGTTTCAAAATTGATAAAAAACGTAAAATTTAATTTATCGCAATTCAGATACATTCGCCCCCAAATGAGCACAGACGCAGCTAAGCTCTATATGCATTTCACATCTTAAATACTGCATCACAACTTGGTCTCTATCAACCAACTCTGTGTTACAGCCCCTTCAAAGCTTGTATAAACAGACACTTAAAAATTTTAGATGATAAACCTGTTTCATATCACTACTGTAACATTTTGAAGAAATATAAATTATTAACTTTTGAGAATTTTGTTTTGTTTTCAGATGTCAATTTAGTATACAAAATTCTTCATGATCTGTCCCCTCAGCCCCTGAGAATGTTTGTGAAATCTTGTGAAGAGGCAGGACTTAGAACAACGCGAGCCTCCTCTAGAGGAGATTATCAACTTTAGGTCCCCTACCTTTGGACAGAATTGCTTCTCTGTGAAAGCTGCAGGGATGTGGAATGTGTTGCCATTAACTGTTCGTGAGAGTAATACCTTGCAACTTTATTTGAAGAAGTGGTTGAAAGACGGTCAGATTTGTGAACATTAACACAAAATTGGTTAATTGGGGTATTTTTAAAAATGCAAGAAGGTAATATTAACAGAAAAGAAAGAAATGAGAATTATACTGTAAATATTGGAATTTCATGTGTTGAGGTGATCCTTTTGCTGGTGCTGCATCTGTATTTTATATTGTAAATTAATTAATTAGTAAGAATGCTCTTTGTCCGCTGTATAAACCTGCTGTCATTTTGCCTCTGCTCAGGGACTGCAGATGAAAATTAGCTTAAAGCTATCTCTGTCTTGTGTAACACATTTTTTGTGCAATGTCCCTGTCAAATAAACAAATACCTTTTTATTCTGTGGTAGAAACAAAGTTGTATACATATACTCTCACATTTTGGTTGTAGATTTGCTTTAACTGCAGGAAGCCTGGTCACGGGCTCGCCGACTGCCCAGAAGCAGATAATGATGAAGAGATGGGCCGTGGTATTTGTTATCGCTGTGGTTCCACTGAACATGAGATCCAGAGATGTCGCGCTAAAGTGGATCCTGCCATGGGTACGAGTTGAATGAGATGTCATGCACCTAAAATGTATGAAATATCAAACCTGCTATGATTTATCATATGAATGTTCCTGTTTTCTAGGTAATTACCCGTACGCCAAATGTTTTATCTGTGGTCAGACTGGTCATCTGTCCAAAGCCTGCCCTGACAACCCAAAAGGACTGTATGCTGCTGGTCAGTGATTTACCCGTTTAACCAAAGCCTAATAATGTATCATATTTAATAAGCATATTTAGAAGTTTACTGAAACTGTTGTACACAATCTTCTGATTGATGGTTTATACTTTAATTCATGGTTAATAATTTTTTTTTTTTTACTGATTTGATTTGTATATAAACATTTAAGAATAACTTGTAAACTTTAGTAATATTTCAAGATGAACACTTACTGGGCTGTAGCAACTTAGGTTTACTATATTATTATTAGTTTTAAAATATCATGTTCAAATGTGAGTATCAAATGTCAGGCTTTTGATGAACGTTTATTTGTTCATCTTTCAATCATCATTGCATTGCATTATGTTTTTCCCCACAATAAAACTACAGAGCTTTGATAATAAAACTAAGCATTTAAATATCGTCTTACTAAGACATATTATAGGGAGATATAGAGTGACAACTGATTTATATGCATTTTATGCAAGTATTTATCCTGCTATAAAACTCTCATTGATTAACATTACAAGCATCTTACTTTTTGCCGATAAAAATAACAACATCTGCACCAAATTGCATAACTGTGCTCAGTTTGGGCCTTGGAATAAAACTGAGGTGTTTATTTCCTCCTTGAGTTTGAGCTGCATATCCTCCTATATCATATATGAGCCATAAAATCTGATGTATCAAATTTGAAACTCAACACACACAAAAAAAACATACATACTTTTTAATTTTGACTAAAGCTTCAATAAACTGTTCCATTTCAGAAGATTAGATTTTTTTTTTTCTGACTTATTTGTCATATGTCAGGACTTACAGGGTTAGGCATTAAATATTTATGAATATAATATCATCTTTAAACATATGTGGTTTTGTTCCTGTAGGCGGTTGCTGTCGGGTTTGTGGCTCAGTGGAACACTTTCAGAAAGATTGTCCTGAACACCAGAGCTCAAGTGAGTCTCAGTGTGAGCACGTCCACTGGAATATGTCTGTTGTTCAAGTCAAACTGAAAACCGATACATTAAGCTCAAACTTCTTTTTTGCAGCTAATTCTATCACTCTTGGCCGGCTGTCCAATAGAATCAGCGCTGACCACGAGGACGTACATGTGCCTGTGAAGAAAGCACAACCCAAAAAAGACAAGGTGGTGGTGTTCTGATCCACAGCTGTTGGGGGAAATCTAGAAATGGACCATTTAACCGCTAATGTCTTCCCCAATAACTGTTTGCCATGGATGTTTTTACACACAAAAGTGACTCTTCATGTTTTGAGGCCATTTACTTGCTGTAAAAGAGCCTTGTGATGCCTGACCCTTGTGGACATCACATATGTGCCTGATCTAAAGATTTAATTATGGATTGTGTTTTAATGCTCAAGCCTCAAAGATTGAGAGAATTTGAATAAGAAAAGCAGCATTTATTTACAAGACACTTTTGTACAAATATACTCTATAATTAAGTGTGTTTTCTGTGATGGTATATTCTATTTATAGGAACAATTGTATAAATATGCATTCTGCCAATAAACTTTGCGTTTTCTCACAAAACCACACCACAGCTATAACGATAATACAGAGGAACTATATTATTGCAGTCACTTTCAGAATGATTTTTCCCCAGCTGATGAATAAGAACATTGACATTTAAATCGATAAAGACAGCATCACACACACTTAAGTTAAACAGAACATTATTGTCTGTTGGTGTGGACTGTAATATAGTTTTTGTTTTTTATAGTACCGTAATCGTTCTTGGTGTGATTGGGCCTTTAAAACAATTTTGCTGTGATCGATACTTCTTAAAATTGCTTAAAGGGTTAATTCACACAAAAATGACCTTCTATTGACAGCCATTCTTTTTTATTTTATATGAATAAAAGCCTAAATTAAATCTAATCAACATATAAAGAAATTAAGTCTCTTCAGAAAATTTGGACTAAACCACTCAATTCATATGGATTAGTTTTACGATCTCTAGATATGGCCTACTTTTTTAAGTGTCAGTTGCTTAGCTGTCAATGGAGGGACAGAAAGCTCTCAGATTTCATCAAAAAGATCATGATTTATGTTCTGAAGGTGAACGAAAGTCTTACGGGTTTAGAACGGCATGAGGGTGAGTAATTAATGACAGATTTTTTATTTTTGGGTGAACTATCCCTTTAAACATGACAGTCGTCATGGTAACCTTAAATAAAATAAATAAAAAGATTCTCCTAGAAGCAAAATGTTGTGCATCAGAACTCTGTGTTAAGCACATCTCTCTCCAGAAAGGAAATGCAGGACATTGCCGTCTCTTCCATAGATTTGGACCAGCCCGCTAGGTTTCCCTCCACATAGGGCAGCACTCCAGAGGTCACCTGGTTGTAGTACGACACCTAGAAGAGCAGCCAGAAATGTTCCGATTCAGCAGAAAAGTGTTTTATTTGTTTTTATTGAGTTGTAGATGTTATAGTTGGTACCTTGCAGGTTAAAAAGCCCATTTCGTGAATGAGGAATCCTGCACATTTAGCTTCGCTCCGAATGGAGTTCTCCTCAGGTGGAACTGTTGCCACGGTGACGGACCGGAGCGCTATGACATATGGGTCTCTGTGAGAGAAAAAAAATACATTTTGAGCTTCACATTACACATTTGTTCACCCAAAAATGAATCATGTTAACAGTGGAATCATACCCATTTTTGCAGGGTTGCCTTTTAGACAACAGGAACACGAAATCCCGACTTTTGCCTCCGTTAACTGTGGCGCATTTTATGTGATAAATGGTTTCCTCCTCATCTGCTTTCTCCACCTCTTCACAGCTCCTGGAGGAAACACGGACGTATGCAGATGATGAGAAACACAATTTTATGTACGATTGCAAAACTTTTAACACAGATAGAGGGATACAGATCGCCTACAGATAGTTCTTGTCCCACTGTGGCCGTAACCTCAGGTCGGCGAGCAGCGAGAACACGTGAAAAGCCGATGTTTTGACTTCCATCTCAACTCTTAAACACAACATATCTTCTTCGTCATGCACGTAAACCCCGACCTGCAAAAACACAGTTATTTAAGCACTGTAGAAACCTACTAGGCAAATTTAGGTGCATAATACTAATGTAATATAATAATATCACACAATAATAATAATAATTTGTTACATTTCTATAGCACTTAAAAGAAACATAGTGATGACCTTATCGTTGATGTTACTGGCCTCCCATCCCCGTTTTCCAGCTAAGACTGTGAGAGCCGCCACGTTGTTATACCCCAAATACACCTGCAGAGGGCAGAGATGTTACAGAAGGTACGCAGTAAGAGCTTTTTTACTTCATACATACAATGCGAAGAACTAGAACCCATTGGCTGCATCTGAAATCACAAACTTTCTAAGTAGGTACTTCTTGTGAATAAGCGATTACTTTGGGACCACTAAAAAAGTATGTTCTATATAAACTCCCTAGCCAAAAAGTCGCTGTTTGGATTTCAATAGGCAAATGCTTAAGAGTCTATGGTTGGATGATTATTGCAGTGTTATGTTATGTTTCTAGCATGTTATATGTGTAGCAACAGCTCTTCTAACCCTAATTGATGGAGTGTGTAGCTTTGCATTTTTTAAACAACCATGTATGAGACACATCATGGCCATATTCCAGGATGATAATGTCAATATTCATCAGGCTCAGATTGTGAAAGAATGGTTGTGAGGATCATGAAGAATCATTTCCACACATGAATCGTCTCCTCTGAGTCCAGTCCTTAAATTCATTGAGAGTGTTTGGGATGTGCTGGAGGAGACTTTACAGAGTGCTGGACTCTTGCATTGACAATACAAGATCTTGAGCAAACATGTATGCACTTTCTGATGGAAATACATGATTTTTAGTATTTTTCTTGACTTTTCTTTATTGGATCAGACTTCCATAAGTGAAATTGTTACACAAAACTGACCGCTGAAATCAGCTTGTGGTACATTAGTGTTTTAAAAATGTATCACTGCAATGTTATTTACAAAACCGCAGCATAATTTGATCAAAATTATATATTTTTAAATAAGCAGTACTGTTTTATTATGTTTTATTCTGTATGTATCCAATGACTATTTTAAACTGATTATGTATTTAATTAGTTAGTCACCTACCTGATTACTTCTGTCCCAAGGCACAGAAATTGGTCCCTCATCTCTTGAGTACAGAATGTGTTTTCTGGGGAAAATACATTTGGAACGTTTCCTAAACAATTTGGTATATTTCCAAGAAAAGAAAAAAGATTCTGTACAAAAGGTACCTGGCCATGCGAATTCTCTTCCTGACAATAGCACCAAGAAATCGTCTTTCTCCATCCTGGAAAAAATAAATGATATGATTTATGTGCCTTAAGTGAGTGTTAGAGCTATTTTATATAAACAACACGTGCTATCGTGTTGTTGAATGTGTAGATAACTCACAAGAGTTGTGTAGGTGACATCAGGAAAGGTCTGTTGCTCACCATCACGTCCTGGGATGTAATAAATCACTGAGGCGCTGTTGATGTGTCTTGGTGTCCCCTCATTCCACTCCTTACAGTTATACGCCTCCACCCGAACACCCACCTCCACACTGATCGCAGAACAGGAGAGCAATGAATTCAAAATATACCTCTGTTTATTATATGTTTTAATGAAGTCAAAATGGACCCTATTATTGTGAGAAGTTTGCAGCGATGTGGTGTGACGACGACCATATGTCATATTGCAAATGCATGTTGTCTTTAAAGGGATAGTGAAAATTTCGTCTTCATTTACTCACCCTCAAGTTGTTCCAAACTTGTATGAGTTTCTTTCTTCCGTTGAACACAAAAGAAGATATTTAAAAGAACGTTGGAACTTGGAAACCAGACAGTTGACCTCAGCCATTGACTTCCATAGTGTGTTTTTCCTAGTATGGAAGTCAATGGCTACCGTCAACTGTTTAATTGCCAACATTCTTCAAAATATCTTCTTTTGTGTTCAACAGAAGAAAGAAACTCATACAGGTTTGGAACAACATGACGGTGAGTAAATGCTGACAGAATTTTCATTTTGGGTGAACTATTCCTTTATCAGTTTAATGCATGAAAAGAAGGTCATTTTGTTCAGGATCGCACTTCTATAACAGTCAGGTAAGGTTTATGTAGCTAACGTTACTGTACCTGGTCTGAAAGGCATTATTGACCATGGCTTTGAACACCAGTCTGTCACCGACACTGGACGGACCTCGGAAGCGGAACATGTCCACAGCTCCAAGAGAGGGGTAGTAGCCACACAAACGACTAGAACAACAAAAACACACATATAAGATGAAAAACACATACTGGTACATTAGTCCCAGTAAAGAACTACTGAATTGTCAAAACACCATTCAAACACGAATTCAAATTCCGGACGCGAATTTCGGACTCTCGAAATTTTCGGAATCTCGAACTACTTCAATATTTGTATACACAATGGTCAAAAGTTATAATAATTCAGATTGTTTCATTTTAAATGACAAAGTCTCTTATGCTCACCTAGGCTGCATTTATTTGATCAAAAATACAGTGAAAAAAACAGTAATATTGTGAAATATTATTACAATTTAAAATTACTGTTTTGTATTTGAATATATTGTAAAATGTAATTTATTCCTGTGATGCAAAGCTGAATTTTCAGCAACATTACTTCAGTGTCACATGATCCTTCAGAAATCATTCTAATATTGGGTGTTCTAGGTGGTTTCTATGGTGTTGCTATTATTTACCATTTATTTTTAACTTAATTATTTTCATTTTATAAGTATATTTTTCTGTTGGCTATGATTTGATGATGACATCCATGATGCCTCATGCATAATTTGTCATTTTGAAATTTTTATTTCGTAATATTATCCATCTCGAAGCTGTTTGGTTTGGTTCATGGCTTAGAATAATTAATACAAGACATTTTTCATCCCTATGAAAACAAAATCGATGTGAAAAACCCTTCCGGAACCAATACCCGTCACTGTTGCACAATGAGAACATCCAGCATGAATGCGCAAGCATACCTCGCTGCCACTGTAGCCACATTCTCCATCCAGGCCATGATCTGTCCTCCAAACGTGTTTCCATGGTGATTAGCGTGTGGCGGCAGGACCAGCTCGATGCTCTCGACCCGTGTGTGCTCGGTCGACACCAAGGGCGCGATGGGTTTCCTGCTATACAGTCCTGAAATGCCAACAAATGCTGTTTAGCATGCAGTTTATCAGCTGCAACTTTTTGGATTGACGTGCACATTGACTCATGACTGGAACTTTTGATCCCATTGCCAAGTTGTTGTGGATCTAGTGGAGTCTCATATCTGTCCTCTGGCTGACTCTTTCAACGGATTCTTTCCACCGGTTCTTCTTTCAGAATTTATTACCACACAACCTATGAAGTTTTGTTTCCACAACACAATGAAGTTATTAGTATAGTTCAATCCCCTGAAGTAAGCTAAGGGTGTGACTGTGACATAATTGCTCATAGGCTACATTCACACTGCAAGCTATAGTCAGGTTTCACAGACAGGGCTTAAAGGGATAGTACACGCAGTAAGACTTTCGCTCATTTTCGGAACACAAACCATGATCTTTTTGATGAAATCTGAGAGTTTTCTGTCCCTCCATTGACAGCCTGCGCAACTGACACTTTGTTTGACGCTTCAAAACGTTCATAAAGAGATCGTAAAACTAATCCATATGAATTGAGTGGTTTAGTCCAAACAGCGTGGACAGTCAGATCAGACTAGATTCCAATCGGATACACATTTAATCACTTTTGCCTGCAGTCTGCAGTAGATCACTGGATTCAGCAACATTACCAGCCATGACCCTTCACTACTACACCACACACCATCTCAGAACCTCAGAAATAGACTCAACAAGTATACTAACTTATACCATGGTCTGGGTGAATACTCGATTCTGATTGGCTGCAGGGTGTCCGTTAAAAAGTGATAGAGGGCACCTAGTAAAGGAGTTCTGGTGAAACTGCCTGTTTACCGTTCGAAATTAATAAATAAATGCGCTGCCTACAACAGCTGTGACTGAGTAACCATAGCAACAGGCAGTCAAAGTATCCGTTAACAATTTGCTCTATCAAAACAAACATCTAACGTCAGTTAGATATTACATAGCCTACTACAATGAGCGACTTCGTTATTTCATCTTCAGTCTCTCACGGACTGACGGAGCAAGCCCGCAGACTGCTCTCGCATCGATGGCCTGGCTGTCACCGACATTATTTGACGGCTCTCCAGTCCAGCATCGGAGAGTCGACCTACAGCGGTGCTTCGGAGGCTGTGGTTAGTGTAGACTCGTGTAACACATAGTGTTTTATGTGTAATAAAAAATAACTATGCCTACCTTTGTGTTTCATGAAAAAAAAATGCATTTTTGAACCTGAAGGGTTCTACAAGTTGAGCGGACTATATATCTCAAGTTGCTAAATAAATCGTCAGGCAAGTTATTATTTAAAAAAACTAGATTTAGCCTAATTAAAATATAAACTAATGTTTTAAAAATGTTTTATTTGGCAAGTGACCATGGTATAAGCGGTCCGCTGCGCGTCGGCCGGTTTACACCTCGCCGTCGTCCATTAAAACCTTACAACGGACACCTCGTCGGGCATTAACCCTTACTTAATGGCAAAGCTCAAGTAAAGCACTAACCCTTGTCTTGAAGATTGTGATAGTCCTTGATGAGGTTTTTGAAGGACTCTTCGTTGTAGAGACGGAGCCGTCGCCTCTCTGAGGCCAGTGAATGTTCCAGCATTCCCTCTACGGAGCCCTGAACGTCCAAGGGTCTCAGAGACACCTGAAGAACCATGAAAGAATATTTAAGAGTAATTTGTTTTTAAATATATCAAAAAGTCAAAGCGTAAGAGAAAATATGTTTCACAGCACATGTAATGTGACTTTCTTTTTGGAGCCAATCAAATGTTCAGATCTTGAGTTGTTTGGGATCATGCTCTCTGGCTGGGGTTTGATAAGAAATTTCAAATTAAAAAGTAATAAATCAAACTCGGAGCTCAAGCCGCGCCTCGGGTTCAAGCCTCCTCCAAGGACAGCAAGCCAAGTTAGTTTACTATTAACCTTCAAGGTTGAATGGTCAGGCAAACTAGTGATGCTGATTTGTAATATTGTCTTGACTCTCACTTTTGATCAATTTAATGTGTCTTTGCTGAGTAAAAGTATTATTTTCTTTAAAAACAAATCTTACTGACCCCAAACTGTAGATCGGTAGTGGAATACTTAGATTTGAGTGGGCTTAATTTCCCCTAAATTCTAGGGTGTATTCTTTGCAGAGCCGTTCCCTCACCTTGTGTGTTCCTGTCGGTTTGGCGACGAATGTGGAGAAGGCCACACAAACCCTCTTCGTCACCCCGCTGAGCACCTCCTGTACTGTTACATAGATGCCCACCTGATAAAACACCCCCTGATCAGACACTGGGATGCTTTCTAGTTATTCCGTTAATATTTAATACTGTGTGAATGCTTTTCGTCTTGTTTTACCTCCATACTCGTGTTGAAAGCCCTGTTAACTCTGGCTTTTATATTGATAACTTGCCCAACCCTGAAATACAGAGAGATATGATTATGATATGATAAGAGAATAATATACCACATAACATATGAGATAATTCACTACCACTAAAGCTTGTCCTATATGACCTTAGGCCAGTTCACGATAATGATAGCTCTAAAAATCGTTCAAAATACAAAATCTCTTTCAAAACCTTTTTTTTTTCCAGCTGATGAACGATTACAACTTTGACAGCCAATCAGAATCCATCCTGCTTTAAAGAGCTCGAGCATTTAAAGCGGCAGACGACAAACTGCAGAGCATGATATCGTTTCCTGGTGTGATGGATGCTAATATTAGATTATAGTTATCGTTCTTTATGTGAACAGGCCTTAATAAATCCTATCTTTAAAATCTGATTGATGTTGTTTCATGACCAACAAGGATAGATAAGTCTAAGTTACGTGATAAGGGACACTAACGTTACCTTACGGTCTCTTCAAACTGAATATCATCCATGGAAGCGGTTACACACGCCATTCCTGCATGTCTTTCAGCTTAAAAGAAGACATGAAGAAAGAAGATTTATTACACGAACCACTACACGCTGTTCTTACTGTGTTCAACTTAGCTTGTCACCGGTATTTATATTTCATGGTGTGTAGCAGAAACGGGAGATGAAGAGGACGTGTTAAATCATTAATGTGTGTCTTCCTCAAGCCCCTTCCCACAGTGGCGGACACAAATGGATTCATGCGAGATTTGAGGGTGAAAGGTGTATGGATGTTAGTTACCTTCTTTGTAGTCCAAAGTTGACCGCTTATCTCAACCTACTCTGATGGCTTGATAACACAGGTTGTTTTGGAAAATAGGACATTTTACGGCATTGGCAGATCAGTCAAGAGCTTGTCGTTGTTGTTTTTTTGTGTGCAATACGTTAAAGACGTTTAAGATTCATGTGAATTTATTTTAATATTTCACAATTTAGAATAGCTGAATAATGACAATAAATAATATTTTATATTTAATAGATTTAGAATAATGATAATAAATAATATTTTATATTTAATAGATTTAAGATAATTGAATAATTATCTTAAATATTTTAATTATATAATATGTTTTTAATTAATTAATTATAATATATTAATTATTTAATAACATTTCTTTAGAATAACAAGACATATTTTAATTATTTAAAATTATTCAATAATAATAACAATACAAAAAAAATCAGAATCTTACAGAAATTTACTATATAATTCTAAGAAGGGTGATATTTTTTATTTATATTTAACTAATGTCATAATAACAACAAAATATACATTCAGACTGAATGATTCAGTTGGTCTACTGAAGATGCTAAAAATGATCAAATGAATTAAAACACCACCAACAACATGCCATTAGAGGTCTTCTGTCCCAGTTCTGCAGGGGCATGTTCTGACTTTTTTTACTTCAAAATAAAAATAATATATTTGTATACAAATCGAAAATAATTAATAAAATACACAAACAGGTCATGGTTGCAATCTCCCCCAGCCCCACTCACCTGCCAGACAGGCGATAGTGTCCATCCACTTCAGCAGCTGTCCGGCACCCAGCTCTCCCTGGTGGTTAGCATGGCAGAGCAGGATGGACTGGCACATCTGCACCTCTCCCGGGCCGGACCCATTCCTCCGTTCTTTCTCATGGGATCGGTCCGTGACTAACACTCTTCTTGACCAGTTCTGATCCATGAAGCCTTGCTTAGAGACGTGGAGTATTGAAATGACGGGAGGTCAGTCTGTTCCTGGGCTCTTAGCAGGGCCGACGCCAGGTGACCTCAACTCTTGCCAACTTGGACGTTCTGTGGGATCATGTGATGTGCACCAAACGGTCGAGCTGAATACCTGAGCTACTACAAGCTGCAGGACACCATGTCTCTGCACACAAACCACCTGTGCTGCAGTTCATTTTATGACGCATGGATTGTGATGTAATCACCATGTGTGTGTGTGTGTGTGTATTATTAACATGTGAGTCATAAAGTGTGGACTGATGTAATATGGCAGAATTGAGGAGCTCTGTTGCACCAAAACAGCAAGAAAGACACCAAGAACAAAAACTAACAATAATTATATATGTACACTATTTTTTTTATAATTATATACATCAACGCATAATAACGTTCTGTTTGTTCTAAACGCTTCAGTTATGTCGTCAAAAGAAGCAACGCTCGTCTTATATTTGGATTTTTTTTATTGCCTGTCAATGTTTTTTTTACTCATAAACTGGAATAAAAATCTCTCTGAAAGTGATGTGTATGAAGTAAAATAATGACAAATGTTTTGAAACAAAAAAGCTTGTTGAATTGCACTGAAAAAAATATGCATTGCATTAACCCTGCTTGCATTTTAATGCATTGCATTTTTATGGGCTGGAATTCAACATGGTTGTATATTTAAACTGAATATTTAAATTCAACACATTTCACACACGTTTTCATTATTAAAAATTCAATAACCCATTTTCACCTTTCAGATTTCACTTCCAAAATATTCATTCTTTTTAAAAATACAACCTATAATATTCGACGGGCAATTTTCGGTCCATTTTATTTCGCTTTACAAATTCGCTTCCACAAATTCAGTGGATCAAATTCGACAGTAGCAAAAACACATGAACACACACAGCGCAGAGTGTCCAAAGCGTCACGAGAGACGGCGTTAAATGACCTCATGTCTCAAAGCACATAACATTACAATAATAATCAACGTAAACAACTTACAGAGCTCTAGTTTTACCACCAGACCGCTGCAGATTAATTTCAACTTTGTTAGTGTTGACACAGAAACGCATAAATCCGAGTCTGAGAATCCGGAGATTCCGTCTACAAGACATGAGATCATTTAACGGCGTCTCTTGTGACGCTTTGCCGACGCTTCTGTGTTTTGAAGGAGGCGTGGCTTTGGAGATGCGGGATCTCATGTTTTCAAAGCTAGCTTGCTAATGCTAGCCTCTCCGAAATTGCCTACCCTACCTTTAACACATACAATCACACACAAAAAAACAAACAAACAAAATGATCTGACAGTCTGTTAAACAGCAATGAGAAGCTTTATATCAGTATAGTATATACAAAACTTCTCTGTGTATTTACAAAAGTCAACTCAAGGTAGAAAATGAACACTTCACAAAATCAAAAATTAAACATCAAATAAGTCAAATGAAAAAACACTTATGATAGGGTCTCTCTTGTCATCAGGCAAAAATCTGGGGCAAAAAAAGGGCAAATGTTATTACAAATAAACACGAAAACACCTCAGATATTGTACAGTATTGTTTTAAATAATTCACAGAGACACAGATTAATCAGATCCCCAAGCTATAAAAAAAAAATCACATATATATATATTTTTTAAATTTCGCAATAATAATATTAATAATAATAATAATTCCACTTGAAATAAAAAAAAAAAGCAAAGCAAATCACAGTTTCTCCGGGTGACACAACAACGGCTGTATAAATAAGTTGATTATTAGAATGACAGATGTACGGAATTATAATTCCCATCCATGTGCCCCTCCTCTGAATGGACCAGTCTCCTTTTTCCATAAAAGCGTCCTCGCTTCCCGTATTCACATGCAAAGATTTTCACGAAGAAAACGTTGTAATATAAGAGCAGTAAACGTTGTATCTGTGTACGTCACATGATTAGGAGTATTTTCAAAACATGATAGAAATATGCTTCGGTAACCGCGGCGATCTTGTGTAGTTGCTCAGTTCAGTTCCGGAGGACGTCCCTTTCGCGTCCCCAAATTAAGATGGCAAAATGGTGCACAATGGATTTTTTTAAGTGTACATATGGAATGGCTGTTCTTCGTAGGCATCGTCCTGAAAAATAAATCTCCTGTATATACAGGCAAAACTGATCAGACTGCATTGGAGGAGCACAGATGTCCGAAGGCCGAATGCAGAACGAAATGATAAATTACAGACGTCAGTTGGAATTACATACACATTTCCATTAGCGACAACTCAACCAGTTTCAATAAAATACGAATCAAACTCTCTCGTCGATGACACAAAGACAATTATGAATCAATTACAGTGCGTGCTTGCTGGGAAATTTGTATCATTGTGATTCTGCACAAGGTAACCTGATCTGTCATTTTACGAACTCGACCCCCATTGCATCTCAAGTGTTTCCTGCGATAAATACATTTACGTACATCTGTCCATTTCCATCATATTTCAAGAAAATATGATTTGTTTTTGTTAAAGTCCATAGTCTTTCTTTCAAGCTCGTACAAGGATCAATATACGTCCTTTCATACACACATGCACATGTAATTCTGAATGTACACCCACATATATACACAAAGATATACGTAAATATAGACAGGTTGTTGGTTCGTCATTCTCACCCCAACGCGTTCAGCGCTGTCCCTCGGTATGACGCGGCCGAGGAGGTGAAAGAATGATCTTTGAAAACAGAATAAACGAAAGAAGGAGAGAGAAAGGAGAGGCTTGGACCCATATTCTTCAGAGAGCAGAAGAGGGCTGGCTACAGCGCGCTTGCACAAGTCCTGTGTCATGTGGTGGAATCCACCTGGATTTCCAAACGAGGTCTTCACACACTCATGGTCATGTTTGGAGAATACTACAAGGACACAAGAGTTAAAAAAAAGAGTTTGAGTTTGTTTTTGAGAGCTTTGAGGGGTCATACCATACACTTTTAGCATGATATTTTAACAGCTGACCAAACGTTAGTCGATGAGAAGCGGCTTGGTTGATCACATTTTAATTGGAAGTGGCGAAGTCACACATTCTGTGACATCGATATATACATATACAGTATATATACATAGATGCCTCATTAGCCTCTATACATAAGCCGTCCATCATAAGTTGACTGAGCGTCTGCAACCGCAGTAAGACGCACATTATGAATATCTATATATATATTCAGCAGATGATTTTGCTAAACTAACACAACATGACGTAGGTGTCAGCTAACACAACATTAAAAAGTTACCAAAAAAGTACCATAGTAAAAACCTGTAATATTGAGTTAATACATTTAAAAACTAGGGCTGTAGATTTAATGCATTAACTTAATTAGTTAAGGGGAAAAATTATTCAAATTATTAACGCCAATGCACCCGCCCGCCTCAGATCTACGTAGACCATCTGACATTTCATACAGTTGATTGGTGACGAACATGATGAAGGGCAACAACTCTCTCGCGTTTCTCATATAACACAATAATGACTTTAAATGATCTTTTGGGGGAAATTTCTCAGCCAAATTTGATGTGCGATTTATTCGATAAATTAATCGCCACATTGTGTAATCAATTCGATTTAAATCTCGACAGTTTCACAACCAGAAGCTGCGCAATGTTATGGCATTCTCACATATGATTCTCACTGTGAGTGACGACATCTTGACCGTTCCAATATGGCGGGAGGGAGCGCCGACGTGTATGGAGCGTTTGAATGTAGATCCACCATATACATATCTATGGTCCGTGACGGATAGATAATTAACACGGCTGGTCCATGTGCTAATTAAGTCGGGCAGGTAATCCATGACCATTCCTGATTAGCCTGGTTAAAACCAGACCATTCTCAGTTGTAACTAGTGTTGCTTTCGTCAACGAAAATTATGACTAAATATCGTCGTCAACGAACCTTTATCACGTGACGAAAACGAGACGAGACGCAACGTAAATGCTGGTCATGTGACGATGACTATAATTAAATGTATAATGCAATATCGTTGACGAATAAAAACGAGACTAAATGTGATTTACAAAATAAAAACTATGCTAAAATGTCTCTTCATTTTCGTTGACCAAAATGAGACGAGACGAAATGTTATAACATTATTTCGTCTCGTTTACTTGCATTATTATTAGGCCTTTTATGCAGCATTTCTGTTTCCTGTGTCACTTCAGGGGCTGCATCAGATCGCACTGCGCAGACGCAGGCGACTTCACATCCTCAAGCCCCACTCGCGGCATTATTTAGAAGATGCAGCTGTGTGAGTTACGGCTGTTTCACACATACCCCGTTTGTAGTGCGTGTGCCGTGCTTGTTGCGGTATATATAGGAGCAGCACGCGCTATTGTGCTTTCACATGTGCGCAACTGATCTACGGCTGTACCACAATCACAACATTTATTCTCTATTTTTTTTATTTCAAATCAATATTTTTAGCCTACATCCATTATGTCGTGTAGTTGAGGTACTGTGTAGATCTCTGCTCTGCTGTTTTGCACGCACCGCTCCTGGAGCGCATTGCCGGACCGCATCCGCGTGCGGTGTGAGCGCTCTAACCATAGGCTCTATTAACATGGGTGCGGGAAAAAATACGCACCACACACGCACTGCAAACGGAGTATGTGAAACAGGCGTTAGCATAAACGACATCAAACAAGTCTGACACAGAGAAAGGGATTCGTCTTTGGGAGAAAAAGAAGAATTGACATTTGGAAAAACTTTCATTTCATCATGTGTGTAGGCTACTTCTAAGAGCGTCTTCCGTGTCTGGAATGGATGCATTCTTGAGTCTATAAGGTAACAATAATAATAAGATAACTATAAGAAGATAAGATTGTTTGAAATTGGTTTTGGCTAAAAGAACATTTTCGTCTATAGCCTACTACTAGGCCTACTTATACTATATTGAATGGGTTAAAATAGAATTGCATTACTAAAAAGAGACTACAATTTTCATTGACTAAAACTAGACTATTTCTTTCGTCGACTAAAACTAGACTAAAATGTCATCAGATTTCGTCGACTAAAACTAGACTAGACTAAAAGAGTATGAACATGACTAAAACTACTAAAAACTAAAATGACAGCTTGACACAAAGACTAGACTAAAACTAAAATTAAAACAGGCTGCCAAAAACAACACTAGTTGTAACTGAGTTATGGTCTGGCAAAGCCAAATGGTCAAAGACAAATCATTTCCAGAGGGTCGTCACCAACGGACGTCGCGGATAGAGCTAAACCAATCAGAGCGATGAAGGAGATGACGTATGCAGAGCGGTGAAGAAACATCTCCGAGTGTTGTTCTTTGCTCGGTTTTTAACAAAAGGGAAACGTTCAAATCACTTAAAACACGCGATAGGTGATTCGAACGAGTGATGTTCAACGGCGGCATCCATCTTTGTAATGTAGGCTACAAAATCTGCTTCAAAATCCCAGCGCTGTCGTCATCGTGTAAAGCCCGCCCCAACGTTTCTGATTGGTGCCTTGAATTAGACGGATTGGAAATGGGCTTGAATGAGCTCTTTGCCAGACTAACTTTCAGAGCAAATCTAAATTTGCCGGAAGTTGTCTGGGTTTTCCCAGGCTAATGGTTTATCATTTAAATCATGCAAGTAGTAGCATAAAGTTAGTCACTTTACATGGTCGCTCTAACGTTAACCTAGATAAATGTGCACTAGGCGCATATCCAAGTGTTCATGTGACTAGTTAACTTATTTACTTAGATGCAAGTCATTCAACCCCTGGTACATACACGTATCTGCACCTTTATGCAGAGCTACCTCGCAGCTCGAGCTATAATAATGCACCTTTTCTTACTCTTTTACTATATATATATGAAGAAATATATTTAAGCTCTAAATCTATGTTTTATTTCATCTTAACATGCTTAGTGAATGAGACCCAGTGGCTCTTGTTCAAGGTAAAACACAAATGCACTTTCAGACAAGGAAATGACATACGCTCTCATTCTGGAAAGGGTTGAGGAAATTTCCGCCCATCTCTCCGTCATCTCGTGGTGTTCCCGGCTGGTTGCTCATGCTTAGGTTACCAGGAGAGTTCTGTACAGACGGATACAAGTTTGATTTTACAGTTCAATACGTTTTGCAGACGATGCAAATTGTGCATGAAAATAAGGGCTGTCAATTTTACACATTATTTAAGCTGAACTGCTTTACACAAGAATCGTGTAATAATGTAATTAATGAGCACATCATAATTAATTTGATCAAATATTGAATACATTGAAAGCCTGATTTAAAATATTGAAACAACTCTTACCTTAGGCATACTGTCCATGTCAGCTGACCCTAAAGAATTAAAAATATAGATTTCAGATTTTAAAAATGATATTGTAGACGTATAGTTGCAAAGGCAGTACTTTTAAAAGGCATGGTTCATCTTCAATGACCACAAGGGGGCATGAGCATGCAAGGCAAAAAATGACAACAAATCAGGAAAATCAAGCATGAAAGCTGCAATTTCGCATTGAATTTTGACATGCTTTGATACTCCTCAAGCAGAGTACACAGCACTCAAAGATGTCCAATAGTACTGTCTAAAGTGGTTGTTTGTACAAGAGACACTCTTACCTAAAGATCCATTCATGTGATGCGGCTCCATTCCCGCCATGCCTCCCATTGGACCGTCTCCTCCAGGACCAATAGGGAACTGTCAAACACACACATAATTATGTAAAACACACATTAAATATGGTACTACAACAAGTGCAGAGCAGAAAGTCAGTCATTAATTACAGTATGAACAAATCTAACTCAAAATGAACTGAGTGCAAATATTTTAAATTTGTCATGCTGTCTTACGTTTTGCCGGTTTCCTCCGGGCGGCACTGCGTTGATCATGGTGTACATATTTTCTCCCGAGTTTGTCGAGTCTGTACAGAAAGAGCCAAACACTCTAGCTCATCGACATATATTCAGCTAATATTCCACTAATGTTTTACTAAAAGTATTTGCACACTTTTTGGTCAATTGACACATTTTAAATATCACTATATTAGTAAACGCAATAAATAAAATATTTAAATGCAATGTACTTAAAGGCATTTAATACTTAAAAAAAAAACTGTACATACATTCAACATTAATAATGCTTAATTATATATAAATATACATTTAAATAAAAATATATTAAATAAGTAAACAGTTATTTTCATATATATAAATAATCTTGTATATAATAGTTGATATATTAAAATCTTTAACACTAAAACATTTTTTAAACATTTTATTGTTATATTATGCAAGGTTAAATAATATATCAAATTAATAGATATATTGATTACTATAAATAAAATACACATAAGTATATATAACATCTTGCACACTTTAAAAGATTGTATATATAAAAACGCTATTGTTATAATTAAAAAATATATAATCAAAAAACACCTTAAGCACTTTAATTATTTAAGATTATAATTAAAAATTGTAAAATAAATAAATAAATGAAATAAATAAATAGAATCATATACATGTATGTACAGTATATAAATACATTTTATATAATAACTTGCATATCAATATCATTAACACTCAATTTTTTTTTTTAATATTTTATTGTTATATTTCAAAACTGCAATGTAAAAAATATATACAATTAATAAATACAGATCAATATAAATAACAAACACACACACACACACATATATATATATATAAATCTTAAACATTACATTTATTAAATAAAATAAAAAAAGTTATATAGAAAAAAATTTATAGTTATAAAAAAATAAAAAATAAAAATATATATATATATATTAAATACAATTATTATTGACCCCCCCCCCCCCCCCCTCGATATATCTGTTCATTATTAAATTCAACTTTGGATGAAAAAACAGTGCAGTCCTACCTGCAGGGCTAGGCATGATGGGAGTCCCTGGGGGCCCTCCTCCACCCGGTGGACCCTGAGGAGGAGAAAAGACAAATATTGTTCTAAATCTCATGTAACACAGTTTAATTAGTTACATTTGAATGCACTTGTGGCATATACATGTGTAAATGTGAGGGTAGTCCTGAGTATGTGTGTGTGTTCATGACAGAGGCCTGAGGCGCTTGCTGTGGTCAGCACTGTGCATATCTGCTCTATCCTCTCTCTTCCCAAATCTAATTATCTCTCCTCCTCTCTGCTGACTCGGCTCTGCCTTCCCGAGCACCTCGTCTTGTCTGGCTGCTTTCAGTAAGCTACCACAGCTTCCCCTCCACAAATCATCTCAGCTGGGAGTTACTGACAGCGTTTTAACAGAATAACTTGTGTAAATGTCTTAAAACGACATGTTTAATCACACTGCGTATCTCAAATGTGTTTCGATGTATCTGGCCGTGTCTAGTTGTTTGAAGGACTTTCACGTGAAGTTACTGGATTTTTGGACCTCATTCATGCAAATATATAAAATGATTAAATAACAAAACATTTATAACAACATTTAACACTATAACAATGTATTTTATATATTTATTTTTGAAATATAACAAAAACAATAAAGATATATTTTAAAAAATGTTACAAGATTTACAAGAATAAAACACTGCCTGGCCAAAAAGAAAATTGGATTTACAGAGGCAAATGCTTGGCTCTTGCTCTGACCAAAAATTGATGCACCTCTTGATGGAGATAAATGTTGAGATGTTATTTCCATTAAGAGGTGCATTCATTTTTGGTCAAGATCTTGTATTGTCAATGCAAGAGTCCAGCACTCTGTAAAGTCTCCTCCAGCACATCCCAAACACTCTCAATGAATTTAAGCTCTGGACTCAGAGGAGACGATTCATGTGTGGAAATGATTCTTCATGATCCTCACAACCATTCTTTCACAATCTGAGCCTGATGAATCTTGACATTGTCATCCTGGAATATGGCCATGATGTGTCTCATACATGGTTGTTTAAAGAGGCTATATGCGTTTTTCTGAAATTTAAACTCGCGACTGACACCTGTGGCCAAAAAACAGAACTGCTCTTCCTTTCTGCTCACTCTCGCAGCGCGCGCTCGTACGTGCACACTTCACTAACAGCATTTACAAGTGAACTGAAAACAACACAGTGCTATTTCAATGAACAGTTTTATCACATATTACATTTTCAGAAGAAAAAAAGCCATTTCTGGGTCACTTCGTATTCCCAACACAGATCTGAGCTCCCTTCAAGGCTCAAATGCGAAGCCGATGTTCACTCTAGTCCTTGCTCGGCGCCGGTCGCTCTCAATCTTCGATCTTTTTCGGCCAGTTGTCAGGGGTTTAACTTTTTTAGTCTTAACTGTGGAGTTACTGTTGGTGTCCGAGTTGTCCTGGGTCTCTTCTGTGTATTGGGAGAGTGATCTGAAACGTTTAACATGAACGCGCTTGACGTCACATCCGCAAACAGCGCGGGAAAAATCCGACCCGACAGAAAATAGGAATAATAGGATACAGGCTTATAGGTGCACCCAATGTGAGCGGACAAGGTGTCAGTATGCTCATCAGGAGATGTTTAAGTCATAAATGGTAAAATAAAAAGGCTATTGTTACGTTTAATTTGGGGGAAAAGTTCCATATAGCCCCTTTAAGAAATGAAAAGCTACACACTCCATCAATTAGGGTTAGAAGAACTGTTGCCAAACATATAACATGAAAGAAACATCATAATCACTGAAATAATGATCCAGTCAGAGACTCTTAAGCATTTGCCTATATAATTAGCTTTTTTCTTTTTGGCCTGGCAGTATATATATATGTATAATTTATTCTTATAATTTGGATCCACTGCTGAGGACACAGGACTGTGGAAAATATCTTGCGATCTGATGAATCTCTTCACGGCTGTTGGTGTGTAAATGGAGAGGGTCACGGCTCTTACCACATAACTCCCTGGAGATGCTGATGAATACGGGATCTTAAATGCCACGTGGATCCGATCAGACAGAAAAACAGAGAGAACGTCAACAAAGCAGATGCTCTTTAAGTGCAAACATTTATCTAAAGCTGTAGTGGCTGACATTTCACAACGAATGATTGTAGAAATGACTCACCGAGTTGGAGTTTGGTGGATTTGGCCACGGTCTTCCTCCGGGACCCCTATAGTAGGGCGAGATGTGTTGTACTCATGAACTTTTCCAAGGCTATGGTAGGGAATAGTCTTTATTTTATGGCAAATACATGTCAGTGTAACAAGAAGTACGTACATATTCATCCCAGGCATCCCAGGACCTCCAAGAGCATTGAGTGGTGGTCTCATCCCCCCTCCATATGCCTGGAACAATAATAATAAAACAATATGTAGCAAAGAGTCTTTGCACATGGTTTAGATGAGCGATCCAACCCTATGGTCTTACCTGTGGCCCAAGAGGAACCATCCCTCTGGGCGGAGTCATTCTCTGCATAGCTCCGCCCATATTTGGATGACCTGTCCAATCAAAATGGAAATTAGTAAATTAGCAAATGGCAAACACATTGAGAGATGAATCTCAAAAGCTTTCAAGAAATGTTTTGAAAAAAATCATATTTCACCACACCCCCAAAATAATTAATTATGTCTCTATATATATTTTAATATAATAACAATGTAAAATGGTATTATATATGGCCAATTTTCTTATGGTCCGTTCACACCAAGGATGATAACTATAACTATAACGATAAATACATAGTTTTAAAAACGCAGCGTTCTATAATAAACAGAACAGATGTCATGCGTTGGTGTGGAGGCTAGTATTGTTATCGTTATAGTTATTGTTCTTGGTGTGAACGAGCTTTGAGGTGAATCTCAAGAAAGAGTGTAAAGAAAAAACATCTCTACGTCATTTTAACGTTTCTAAATATATTTGAATATAATAATAATATATTTCATATGGTAATATTAAATGTTTCCTAAGGTGAATCTCATGAAAGCTGTCAAGAAATGTTTAAAAATGTATAAATAATATTTCACCACACCCCGATTAATATTTTCATAACAATTAATCATCAATCAATGAATCTAATTTTGGTTACTATAAAATAAAAAATCGAAAATAAGTATTTAAACATTGTGGAAGTACTTAATTTATGCTAGTTAAAAAAAAAAAAAACCATCATTGTGTCCAGACTTGATTTCATTACTGCATTACCATAATGAGAATGAGATTTTTCCCCCCGCATTACGCTAATGAGAATTCTGGGGGAAAAGTGCTTAATTGCTAAGACAATAATGTCATTATGGAGAAAATCTTAACAGTCCTAAAATAGGCTTCGACTTTCTTTATGCAAAATATAATTTCTTATTTTTTTGGTGTTAAATATGACCAAACATTTCACCCTATAAGATGGTTTAATTAATTATTCGCAAACAAACCTTGTTGTCTTGATGGGTCCATGCCACTGGGTAATAACGGCTGGTTTCCAGGGACTCCACCTAATGCCTGAACCAGTGAGATACAGTACGTATTAATATACATTTGTCAACATCGTCCAAGCAGGGGTAGATAAGGCCCATTAGCTGCCCTTGGGCTATGACATTAGATCAGGACCCAAAATATCACATTCAGGAGAGCGAGACAGTATGACAGGCTGGAAATAAAACGTAAAGCCTGAAGCGACAGCAAAAATACTATTAGAGGGAGATATTAGTCTTGGCTGAAAGGTCTTAGTATGACTCACAGCAAGTTAATTAGACAAGACTAAAATAAAACATTTAAAACTCCAATCACTCCACCGTCAGTGTGTATTTCTGTGCAAACGGATACGCACCTGATTGGGTATTCTGAGAGGTGGTCTGGGGCCGCCAGGATAGCGCGATGACATGAAAGGCTAGAAAAAAAAAGAAGAGATATCATATATGATTATAATTAGCAAAAAACATCTTACTCTAAAGTCAACATGAAATCAAAATTAAGAAACATTCCTCTGTATAGGCTCACGAAAACACCATCTAGATGGTGACCATACTGATATGTAGTCTTTTATAAGAACTGTACACACCAACTGAACTAGCTTTTCTTCAGCTTTAGGGGCATTTACTTAAAGCACCAGCAAGATCAATAGCGCCGAGAACGTCTCCGGAGAACAGAAAACAATTATTTCCAAGCATCCAACCGAACAAGGCCATTTCCACCTCCACATCTGAGGTGAAATTAAGAAAAAACCCTTGATGACAAAGTAAACATACTATATGTATCTAAGACCACAAGCCTCAAGGAAATAACCATATTGTTTTTCTTGAATACGTCAAGACGATGATAAGACATCCTTAAAGTCCCACTCCGATCATATTTTGAGCTATTTTTAAACATTCCCAGTGGTCTTTAAATTATGATTATGCCATTTTTAGCCAAAATCACAAAACCTGTGCCGTTTCCTGGGACTTCGCTTCAGCAGAGCGGCAGTAGCTCATTAGCAATTCGCCTCTGCGTTGTGGGCGGAGCCGTTGGCACGGAGACGACCCTCCCCCTGCCCGTTGCTGAGAGCTCTGTCTCTCCCGCAAGCTTACATCCCCAATACCGGTGGGGCAACAGTATTATATACACGTTAATTATTATTATCCGAAGTTAATCAAAGTTATCACCGATCACCGATCATTATTTCACTCCAAGACGTCGCGTGTGGAGACGCCCAGTGGAGTTACTACGTCACAACTCCAGTCTATTTTAGCCGGCATTTTAGCGTCTGCTACTGATTCACAGCCATTTGAATGTAGAAATACTCAGAAATACAACTTTGAGCTGATTTTTCTCAAGATATGTCCTCTAACATCAGAAAAATGCCACAAGAACATGTTAACACCTAGAAAAACATTATTTTCATCGAAGTGGGTCTTTAATGCCTGCAATTCCGGCGATCCTATAAGATCATTACAAATCATATTGTGGATCTGATAAACTTGGGTACGACATGTAAGTTATTCAGACTGTACGATGATGACAGCTATTGAATTGTAGGCTACGAGCATATAGAAGAATAAAACGTCATCAGCATGCGCTAGTGGTAAACAAACAGAGCAAGATGAATCACACTTTGGCAATTGTGGTTTTTATGTGTGCTGAAAAAAGTGGAGGAAGCGTAAGCGGAGGAAATATGGACGCGGTCATGGCTAGGGAAAAGAGGCCAACTTGGCATGCTAATCTTGGAAATGGAGCTTGAGGTAACGTTAAGTAAGTTTTAAGTTTTAGCGCCATGTCGCGTTGATCAATACACCATTTCATGTTGCATTTTAATTGGCTAGTCAGTAGACGTAGGTCGTAGCAACAAACACACTGTGAGATGATCATGCTAAATTTCGGACACTTTCAAAAAAAATTCACAGGCTTTCTTTGGTCGCAAGACCGTGAAAATGGCCGTCTTTGAACCTCTCTTACTGTACGACAGGACCACCGATAGGAGCCACAGAAATACCCACGATTGGTCATATTTCGTCTGGAACAGCTCAAAATCGTACAATGTGTACCAGGCATAACTCTTTAACCGCCATTGACGGAAATTTCCGGCTTTCTGTGTTTTCACTGTTGTACTGTAGGGGGCGCTATTGCGCATCTTCTGAAAGAATACAGAAATAAGTGATAAAACCATTGCTTATGCATGTTGTAGTCTTTGAAAAAAAACAAAAAACGCACCATTTTCTAAGCTATTTGTTCAAAATGTTACTTTTTGTATAAAACGTACCCACATTCAAGTGTTGATAAAAAATGAATAAAAATAAAAATGCTAGAAATTACTTTTTTTTTTTTTTTAAAGCAGAGGCTCTGTTTTATTATATGCTCAGATTTTCATACAATAAAATATTCTGGGGGCCATTACATTTTTGTGAAAATTATCAAAAATGCTGGCGCTGCCGTTGAGTTAAATAAATGTGACAATATCAGCATGGAATATTGTTTATATTAAAAATATGAGGCTAAAATGGAGTTTTACAGGAGACAAAATATTACAGACTAGTTTTTAACAAATCTATAGGAGCTCTGAGCTCATCTTGCCAAGAGTTTCAATCCCCCGATCAGAGCTTTTCTCTTAAATGAATGCCGTTTTCTGCCCGGAGTTTTACTTCATCTTTCCAATCTACTCTGCCAAAAATTCGCAGATGATCTGAAAACACCAACAAACATGTATGTTGTGTCATAAAGCCAGTCTGTGTTCCTTCACAAGCCGCTTGTGTGACTAAATCTGCCATCAACCCATCTGATGAGCTATAGAGAGAATACAAGTATTCATTTCTTTCTTACTGACCCCAAAGTTTTTATACATAGAGTCTTGTTGTGACATTGTACAAGATGTCCTACCTTTCTGTAAACAAGTGAAGAGTTAAAAGTGATCAGTTCACCAGGCGTTGGAGTCTCCTTTCAGAGATCAAAGCTCAGGCCAATCTGTCTCAGAGCCAACATCTATCCATAATTAAGGCCAATAAGAGGTTCATTGAGAATCAGTCATTATTAGGTGAAAATTGGACATCTTCACACTGTTTTCATGAAAATGCATTTCTTTGTTCATCAAAGAGAACGTAGACTTGGACAGAGATCATGTTGTGACCTGAATGTCCTGAATATGTTCAAAATTTCAGCCATTTTTCTGTATATGTGTGGAGCTCTTTTAGAATACATGCAGAATTACAGAGATGTTGAAGTCGAAACAAAAGGTTGTTTGGTCAGTCTTAATACTTCTTACTTCAATGCTACTTAAGGAATATTTCCGTAAACAAAAAAGTAAGAGTAAGTTAGGATTTTCATGTGCCGTTAAACAGTGGCGATCACCTGAAGAGGTAACCATAGCAACAGCAGGCGGCTCCAGTACTTTCAGTACTCAGGATCCATATTGGCTGATACATCGATTAAACATAAAAACTTCCGTTATCAATCACTTTGTTAGATTTACATTTCACATGTATTCATGGGTTCTCACTCTATTTGACCAATGCACTTTCTATTTGAGTGATTGCTGCATTTGTGCATGGTTAAAAGCATTTTGCTTCAAACTGATTCAATAATAAATAATTCAGGCCATTTTAAACCATTTGACTGATCTCTCACAAAGTTTTACTCAACACAAGATCAGTGGAATCTAGATAAATGAAATTTTGTAGAGCAGAACGAAACTAGAAATATATTTAAAACTGTTTTCCATGACTTTCCAAGTTATTTCCAGGAATTTGCTAAGTTTCGATATTTTCGCTAACTGTATTAGGTGTTCCTAACAGTTTGGACCTAATAAATTACTTGATTATATATAAGAAGGGCTTGACATGAACTCTTTTGCTCACTAGCCACATGTGTCTAGTGTTTTCCAAAGTTTCTAGCCACTCAGCATTTTCACCGGCCACAATTTTGACATCTATACCATAGGAAAAAAAATGCCATATAGATATTTTTTATATTATCTCATAATTCGGCAGCAGGTATATTAGGCTGCTGTCACTTTAACCCTTTCATGCATGAATTATGATAACCTCAGTCAGGATTTTTTTCCTATGTGTTTTTATTTCTCTTAGGGCATGAAAAACAAGATTTGATTTTTTTTTTACAAATTTTCCAAAGAGATTTTCAGGTGTCCACTTGAGTGGACAGCATGCATTTATGGTTTAAACTGAAGAGATACTATATTAAACATAATACAATAATCAAACAGATAAAGTATGTGTATTTAACAAACTAATCAATACAATTATATCAAATCATGTGAAAACTATAAAATATATACAAAAAATATAAATTCGAAATATTGCAAATGCAATTGAACTTCATACAAGTTGCACTTCGTGTATCTTTGATATCAGAACATGAGGACGTGATTCCATCAGAAATTTCTACAGCCTGTCAAGGTACAACAGTGGAAACCACTCAGATGATCCCTCCAGTGTGCCAGAGTATGTCAATTTACCTTTATTAGCTGATCATTCTGATTATGTTCAAGATAGACACATTTCTAGCATAGGCCTCTTCTGAGAAAACCTAGCGATACGTATTTTTCAATCTCATCTGAAATTAGCATTGTTGGGGCATGCATAACGCATTCAGATTACTTTTTTGATGTTACAAGTAAAGTAATGTGTCACAAGTAACATGCATTACATAATCAGATTTGTTTTAATGTTACGAGTAAAGTAATGTATTACAAGTAACATGTATTACCTAATCAGACTACTTTTCGATCTAACAAGTAAAGTAATTAATTGCAAGTAATGTGCATTACGTAATCAGATTACCTTTTGTTGTTACGAGTAAAGTAACGCATTACAAGTAACATGCATTACGTAATCAGATTACTTTTTGTTGTTACGAGTAAAGTAACGCATTACAAGTAACATGCATTACGTAATCAGATTACTTTTTGGTGTTACGAGTAAAGAAAAGCATTACAATATAGTACATTACGAAATCAGATTACTTTTTGATCTAACAAGTAAAGTAATGCATTACAAGTAACATGCATTACGTAATCAGATTACTTTTTGATCTAACAAGTAAAGTAATGCATTACAAGTAACATGCATTACGTAATCAGATTACTTTTTGATGTTACGAGTAAATAAATGCATTACAAGCAACATTCATTGCGTAAACAGATCACTTTTTGATCTAACAAGTAATGCATTACATAATTAGATTACTTTTTTGATGAAATGAGTAAAGTAATACATAAGTCACATAAATTATGTAATCACATAACTTTTTTCGATGTCAATGAAATTAACATTCTAATAATACAAATACATTTATTTACAGTAAAAAAACGTCACTGCAGATTAGGTTTTTCAAAAAACAATATTCACAGTATAAGTATGAATTGTAGCTGAAATATAGCCATTGATGCATGAGGTCCACTATAGTGGACAGGTGATTAATCAGATTTTTCTCCCAATCTAAAAT